CTGGAGCCTAGCCTAGCCTTGCCTAGCTACCAAAAATCAACTCAAGTCTCAAATTGATTTTCCTTCCCTCACCTGCTGCAAACACACAAAAACACTCTAAAGCTTTCAAGGGTATTTACAGAAACACTATATGTATGTATATGTTTACTATGTATGGTAAATTATATTGGGTTGTTGGATATCGATCATCTGTTAGCAACCAAAGAAACAAAAACTTGAGAGTAGTTATTTTTACCATATATAATAATAAAGATATATAGAGCTTGAAGAAAAAGTTTTGCCTTGCCTAGGCCCGGGCACAAGTAAGAAATCTTTCTGGAGACTGATAATGAGAAGGAGAATTGTATGATCAAATAAAAGAACTTGTAATTGCACCAAACCAGAAGCCCTTCTTTAATCCGCGTCTTCACTTCGGATGAACTTGCAAAGCCCTAAGGTGGGTCCTCGGGTTAGACACTCCGATACTTAAGTCAGCAATAATCGGAGCTACCTTTAGGGCGGAGAAAACAGGAACTTAGGGTTGATTTCAATTACCTTTTGGCGTGACCCTTGAGGGGTATTTATATGTTCCCATGAAGAAACCACGTGGCATGCCAAGCAAAATACTCGGGATCTGATGTGTATCTCCAGGCAGTTATTTCGGGACCCGAGATTGAGCCAAGCAAGATATTCGGGATTTGATATGTATCTCCAGGCGGTTATTTCGGGACCAGGAGATTGAGAAACATTTAGATGCGAGGATGTCCATCGTAACTGCTGTGCTGCTGTTTGAGCGGGAAGCTCTGGATTTGTTCTTCACTTTGGTTATAAAAGAATTACTACCGTACGTCCGAGGTTGGGCACCTCGGACCTACCCTTACACTATTCCCCACCGGAAATCATTCACTTGTGAATGATGTTGTTGGGAGTGATAGGGGTAGTGAAAGAGGATATAAGTATGATAGATGAGTTACAGAAATAAAAATGAAAATAAAAATGAAAATCAGTACCGCAAAAGTATGTATAGCCGTAGCGGATAGTGAAATACGAAGCCATAGCAGGGAACAGTGGCTGGAGCCGTAATAAAAATAATGACCGAAGTCGTAGTGGCCGGAGCCAAAGTAAAGTATGTGAGACGGGGTCACTGTAGCGGTAGCCGAAGTGAAACACGTGACACTAGGTTACTGTGGCTGGAGCCGAAGTAAAACGTGACATTTGGTCACTATGGCCGGAGCCGAAGTAAAACTTGTGACACTGGGTCACTGTGGCTGTAGCTGAAGCAAAACGTGTGACACTGGGTCACTGTGGCCGTAGTCGAAGGAAAACTTGTGACACTGGGTCATTGTGGCCGTAGCCAAAGTAAAACGTGTAACACTGGGTCACTGTGGCTGGAGCCGAAGTAAAACGTGTGACACTGGGTCATTGTGGCCGTAGTCGAGGTAAAACGTGTGACATTGGGTCACTGTGGTCGTAGCCGAAGTAAAACGTGTGACACTGGGTCACTGTGGCCGTAGCCGAAGTAAAACGTGTGACCGAAGACATCAGGTCGGTTGTCGAAGTAAAACACTTTGTGCAAAATTTGAAATGGATAAAAGTGAGCAAAAGTGTTGAAAGGGGCTTAAGTGGGCCCATCTGAGAAGTCTAACAAAGAGGCGCGACGCGACAGCTGTCCTTTGAATGATGTGCGTAATAAATGCCGCTATAAAAAGATAAATGTAACGGCCTAATGGGCAGATGTAAAAAACGAACCGTTGAGTTCGAAACGGTACCGTTTGGGGTTAACCGTCGAATTCGAAACAGTGTCTCTGTAGCCGTTAGATGGGGTTAATCACAGCCGTTGAGGCGTATTTTGCCTTTGATATAAAAGGCTAGACTTCCATAAAAAGGGGTTTTTACTCTAACGATTTTGCTACTAAATTCTTGCTAAATTTCTACTAAATTTCTGCGGTTTCGTGCGGTTTGCGCTTCGATCGAGACTTCAACAACAGTTTCCAAGTCCAAAATTGGGTAAAGTATATGAATTTTTGATTTCGTGTTTGAGTTTTTGAGTTCGATTTTGCCGAGATGCCATTCTCCTTTCCCCATTTCTGTGTTTGATTTTGGGTTTTTTAAAGGAAATTAGGTTTGGGAGTGAGAATGTACGGAGTGTATTAGAACTTGCAAGGGTCCTGACTTCGTTCCTCCTCCTACTTTATGCAGAAATTGAGGAGATGTCTTCAGAAAGGACTATGAGTGTAGTGGGGAGCGAAGTGATGCCCTTGGATTACGGGAGCATGGATACGGAGAGCAGTCCGTCTCCAACTAGTTCGGAGAGGACGGTGGAGGAGAGGAGGGATGAAGTAGTAGTGGAGGAGGAGGAAGAGGAGATCCCCTCAAACATTTTGGAGTCTAGGGGTGGCGTAGATGGGTGCTATGACCCGTTCTTAGAGGTAGTTTCTGAGGTAAGGGGGTATGTGAGCGAACTAGGCAGTAGGAGTAGCCTTAGGGGGTTAGTAGGGAACTGTAACCTTCCTCCCCATGTCCTAATTAGGCCTGCCGGGGTGAATGAGAGGGCATGCTTAGCACCCCAAGACCATTGGATGCCCATATACCTCCATTATTTGATTGCGGGGCTTAGGTTTCCCATTCTAGAATTACTGGTTGAGTTATTATTAGATTATAGTATAGGAATAACCCAACTAACCCCAAATGCCATAAGGGTAATAGTAGGTTTTCTTGTATACTGCAGAGTTCGGGGGGTTGAGGTCCCGACAGTGAACATGTTCAAACATTTTTTTATAATTAAGGCTAGGGGTAGGGGGGAGAAGGGGTGGTATTACTTCGGTCCTCGATCGTCCAGCAAAGATAATAGGAGCTTATTCTCTGCTGGACCGTCATCCATCAAAGGATGGAAAGAAAAATTCTTCTTTGTGGATGACACCGAGTGGAGTAGGGGGGATGCCGAAGTGGAACAGTTGTCTGCTTGGAAGGCTAAGAAAACCAAGCAGAACAACTATAAGTTAAATGAAGATGAGGTGGAGGAGGTAGAAAAGCTGGTGAGGGAAGAAGGGGACGTAGTGGATATCCTTTACCTCACAAGCCCGAAGGCAATAGAGGCTGCTGAGCTCTATGGGCCGAGCTCATTGAGTGAAGGTTTGTGCATGTTGTTAACTTTTTGCCGCTTACTTGAATTGTCAATTTGTGTTTTAACACTTGTTTTTGCTCTGCAGCGGAAATGAACGAATTTGTCAATGCTGTTGGAGGACTACGCATCCCAAAGAAGCCAAGGAAGAAGTCAAAGACTTCAACTGCGGCGGAGAAGGGGGTGGTAGAAAGGGAGCGGCCATCCAGCACCTCTGCTCAGGCATTGGAGGTGCAGCCAAGACCAGAACCTGTGATGGGGAGTAGTGAGGATGTGAGCGAGGAATTGGCACCGCTCCAAAGGAAGAAGAGGAAGGTGTCACAGCCAGAGGCTGGGGGGGATGAGGTGGTGGAGTTCGTGCCTTGGCCTTATCCTCCAAAAATTGATCCTGAAGTCCGGGAGAGAGAGGAGGCCGTGGTACGAGGTCTTGGCCAAGGCAAGGGGCCCTTTCCTCAACCTTCGTTCCAGAAGAGTTTGTTCGAAGCAACAAACACTACTGGGGCGAAGCGCTTCCTCAACGCTACTCTGCCTGAGGTTGATAGGAGGCAGGCAAGGGACGAGGCAGTGAGCCAGCTGGGGGGTACTGTTGTGAGGCACGCCCTGGAGGTACGTGAAGGAGCTGTAGTCTATTTATGTTTTACTTTTCTTTGTCTTTCTTACTTTTGTGTTTGAGGTCTGACGTCTGCTTGCCTTGTAGAGTGCAAGCTGGAAAAACGCTCTAGCGCAGGAGTACGCGGAGAGCATGAGAGATCGTGCCAGCTTGCAGAGGCAGTGCGAGCAGCTGCACAAAGAGAGGGAAGAGCTGCAGAAGGAGAAAGAGGAGTGGGAGAAGGAGAAAAGGGAGATGTAGAGGAGGCTGGATGAAGTTCTTCCTTTCGTGACCGAGCTCCAGAACGATAATGATGTCTTGAGTACGAAGCTTGTCCTCGAGGAACGCAAAAGGAAGATCTGTGAGGAGAAGCTCGAAGCTCAAGACAGATACATTGACAATATGAGGAAAGGAGCGACGGAGCTGAAGGAGAACGTATATTTGTTGGTGCACAACGGGATGGAGGAGCATATTGATAACTTCCTCAACTCCAGCACCTTCGAAGGCATCCTCAAGCTGTACCGGCTTCCAATCGCGATCCTGGCCTTCACCGACTGTAGAAAGAAGGTGAAGGCCCAGTACCCAGAGGTGGACGTGATAATGGTCACCTTTGGGGAATAAGAAGAAGGAGTGGAGGAAGATGGTGAGAGTCTTTGTGCTAACTTTCGACCTCTGATCAAGTTGAGGTGGGAGCATGACGCAGAGGGACGCACTGTCTTTCCTCCAACCTTTGATGTTGAGCTGGTGGCAGTGGAGGGAGAAGAAGAAGAAGAAGAAGAAGAAGGAGTGCGAGGTGTTGAAGCTGAGGCAGACCTGCCCGAAGTGCAACCTCCCGAGGTGCACCCAGTCTCCTCTGATGAAGTGCAGCAGCTGGCCCCTCCTGAAGAAGAAGTGCCGCCTCTTCCTGTTGGAGATGAGC